ACCCCCACCCCCGCCCCACCCCCCTGCTCCCCACCCCCAGTTCCGCACCGAGCCCTCTCAGCTGGGCGAGCGCGTGTCGGTGCTGCTGGAGTATGCCGACTTCCGGGAGGAGGGGGAAGGTGGGGTACCGCTGCTTTACCGCTGTGGTACTGCACGATGTGCTTCACATGATACTGTACTGTTGATGGTGCTGCTGTTGTGCTGCGGATGGTGCTGTTGTGGTGCTGCGGGTGGCCGCTGCGGCTGCACCGCGCCCGTGCCCCGGGCGGTGCCAGGTGCGTCGGCCCCTGGGGCACCGCCTCCATTGCGTGCGGGCCTGGGCTCCGCCCTTCACGATCCACGCACACACACGCAAGCCACACACACGCAATCGCATGCACACACATGCATGCACACACACCACGTGCCTCCCCGCCCACCCCCCCTGCAGCCCAAAACACGCGGGAATGGGTGGCCTTCCCTGCACACCACAGAGGACGGGCGCTGGGTGTTCCCGCGCATCCGCCCCGCCTCCCGCCCGCTCAAGCCGCCCGCGCCGCCCGCCAGCCTGGCGCCGGGGCAACCCGTGGAGGTGCGCTTGCCGCCGCCGCCGCCGCCTGCGCAGCGCTGGCTGGCTGGCTGGCTGGCTTGGTTCAGTGCATGCTGCAGTGCATGCGCGCGGCGGCTGCGGCTGCGCGGCGCAGGGCAGCCAGGCGGGGCCCCGGGCGGGGCTGGCGGGTAGCAGAGCCCTCGGCAGGAGGGACGGCCCCGCCGGCGCCTCCCTGCTCCCATGCAGCGCCTTCTGCGCCCACGCCCGCGCCCGCAGCCACCCCAGCCGCTCCCCAGCCGCCCCCCAGCCGCTCCCCATGCCCTCCCCTGCGCCCTCCCTCATGCCCGCAGGCCTTCCTGAACGATGGCTGGTGGATGGGCGAGGTCGTTTCAGTGGAGCCGGGCACTGTGGCCGTGCGCTTTGAGCCGTGGCCGCTCGGCGAGGGTGCGGCGCCGCCTGCTGCCGCCGCTCGCTGCCGCCGCCGCCAGCTGCTGTGGCCGCTGCGGCCTGCTGCCTGTGCGTTGCGCGTGTGGCTCAAGGGCGGGGGAGCCTGCTCGTCTGCCGCCCCGCCCCGCCGCCGCCCTCGCACACGCTCCGGACGCGCCTGCCCTCCCCACCACCACTGCTTCCGCCCCCGCAGGCGACTTCAGCTTCTATGCGCCCGAGCACGTGCGCCCCGCCCACCCGCTGGCCGGGGCCGGCTTTGGCATGGTGGAGGCGCCGCCGCCGCCGGCTGGGTTCACCGAACGCGCACGCCAGGCTCAGCAGCAGATGCAGCAGCTGGAGCGGCTGCTGGGCGGCGGCAGGGCCGGCGCCGGTGCCGCGCCGCCCGGCGGCGGCACGCCGCCGCTGGGCCTGGGCGGCGCGATGCTGCCGGCGCACGCGCACCCTCACCGCCACCAGCGACAGCACGACCACCACCAGCAGCAGCAGCAGCAGCAGCAGCAGCAGCAGCACGGCTACGGGCAGCCCGCGCAGCAGGCGGCGGCCGCCCCCCAGCCGCACCAGTCGCCGCCCCGGGGCCTGGGCGGCGCCACCCTGGCCCGCTCCCGCTCCCACCCGGGCCTCAGGTCTCCCAGCCCCGCGTCCGCGGCGGCAGCCCACGGCTGCAGCCCCGCCCCTCAGGGCTCCACGCCGCCGCTGGCGGGGACACACCCGCACGCGGCGCAGCTGCAGCTGGCTCAGCAGCTCGCCCAGCAGCAGCAGCAGCAGGAGCACCTGGCTCGACAGCAGCTGGTGCAGCAGCTGCAGGCTGCGGGGGCAGCGCGCGCGGCGGCGCCGCCGGCGGGGCAGCGCCCCCAGGCGGTGCTGCAGGCTGCGCCAGGGCAGCACCAGCAGGGGCCGCCGCAGCCGGCGCCCCCGCCCGATTTCTTCGCGCTGGCTGTGCGCCAGTTCCGAGCCTCGCTGCCCGAGTGAGGGCGGGGGGCGGGCCGTGGCGGCGTCTGTTGGCGGCCTCGGCGGCCAGACACAGCCTGTGCAAGCATCCCCTGCCTCACCCCTTGCGTTCCTGTGTAATGTGTGTTGTGTGTGTGGCGTGCGGCGGCGGCGGCAGGAGGGCGAGTGAGCCCGGCAGCCGACAGCGCGCCCCAAAGCCCTCCCTCACGCGGCGCTTCACCCTATCGCTGCCGCTGCCGGTGCCATCCTGCGGTGTGGGTTGTCAGGAGGGGATTGCCTTGCCTCAAAGGGCTGCCTTGCAGCTTGTGGGGCCTCCTTGTCACAGCGGCAACAGGCAGCGGCGGCCTGGCGGTGGGAAAGCTCAGGTTAACCTTGCCTGAACCAAGCCCTGGCGCAGCACAGAGGCTTTTGGCTACCTGCAGCACTAACCCGTAGATCCAGCATAGTGCACATACCTGAGGCCACTGGCAGGACGCCCGTAGGCAGGACGCCCGCGCCTCCCCCCGAGTCTGCTGCTTTGACTTTGCACTCTCGAGGCATTGAACGAGCCAGGCAGAGCCTCCAGCCGCGCCTACGTTGCCAGCGCAAGACTGGCGCTGCGAGCAAAAAGAGCAGAAGCCCGCTGCTGTCCCGGGCTCCGGCAGGCACCCGGCACTTGCCTGAAGCTCGCACGAGGCAAGCTGGCTGATGCCGCTGCGGTGGGCAGGCGGCCCGCTCCTCAGCCGCCGCTCTTGGACGCTTCCGCTCACCACGGCTGCCTCTTCCTGCAGATGAGCTGGCTGGTGGAAGCGGCTTCAGCAGTGGAATGCAACGATATGCAACGGCTGCAGGCAGCACTCAGCCAGAAGCCCAGCCTACTCACCGACAGGGACAGCGACGGCTGGACGCTGCTGCACAGGGCAGCATTCATGGGCAGCACAGATTGCCTGCGGATCTTGCTGGCGGCTGGCGCCAGCATAGAGGCAACCTGCACTGAGGGAGGCGCCACAGCTCTGTTCTTGGCGGCGATGGAGGGCCGTGAGGCCTGCGTGCGGGAGCTGCTGGCGGCGGGGGCAAACATTGAGGCGGCTGTCACCAATGGGAAGACGCCGCTGCACATTGCCGCCCAGGAAGGCCGCCTGGGCTGCCTGCGGCAGCTGCTGGACGCTGGAGCCAACTGCAACGTCGTAAGGGATGATGGGCAAACGTCAATAATGCTGGCAGCCAGGAACGGGCATGCATCATGCATGCAGCCGCTGCTGGCAGCGGGGGCCAGCATCGATGCAGCAGACCGGCATGGGCAGACAGCGCTGCTGCTGGCAGCTTGGCAGGGCCGCAAGGCATGTGTGCAGGCATTGCTGGCAGCGGGGGCAAACATTGAGGCGGCAGGCCAACAAGGGCAGACAGCGCTGCTGCTGGCAGCGTTGGGGGGCCATGAGGCATGTGTGCAGGTATTGGTGGGAGCGAGGGCAAACATCGATGCAGCAGACCAACATGGGCAAACAGGGCTGCTGCTGGCAGCTTGGGAAGGCCACGAGGCATGTGTGCAGGCATTGCTGGCAGCGGGGGCAAACATTGAGGCGGCTTGCAGTGAAGGGCTGAGGGCCCTGCATGCTGCAGCGGCAGAAGGGCACACGGCATGCCTCAGCCTGCTGATTGCTGCCCACGCCAACCTTGAGGCAGCTGACAGCCGCCACCAGCAGACAGCCCTGCACAGGGCAGCAGCACACGGCCGCCTGCCAGCCATCCGCTGCCTGGTTGCAGCAGGGGCGAGCATGGCGCTGCGGAACAAGGAAGGCCTCACCCCTTGCATGCATGCAATCAAGCACAAGCAGCTGCAAGCAGCACAGCTGCTGCTGGAGCTGGAGCAGGAGCAGGCGGGAAGGCGGCAGCCGGATGTGCCCAGCACCACGCCTCCACGCCAGGAGCAGGCCGAAACCCTGGGGACTGCTCCAGCCTCCTCAGCTGCCGCCGAGGCTGCAGCTGAGGCTGCTGCTGCCCAGCTGCTGGCAGAGGAGGAGTGCGAGAGGGAGCAGCAGGCCACTAAGCGGGAGTGGCAAAAGGAACGGCAGCGCCAGCGGGATCCCGTGTCGGCGGAAGAGATGGGTGCGATTGCCGCAGCCCAGGCCGCGGTGGCAGAGCAGGTAGCACCTGCCACACCTGCAACAGGAGCAGCTTGCCGGCAGAGACGCTAACCGCAGCAGGAGCAGCAGCAGTGGCTGCACCCGCGACAGCAGCACCCGCTGCCCCCATCCCAGCAGCGGCAGGCGTCAGGGTGTACGCAGCAGAGGGCTGCGGCAACACGAGCGGCCTGCGTCGCTGCAGCGGGTAAGCTGTGCCCTGGGTTGCAGCAGCAGAGAGGCTGTCAACCCTGGGCTGCCGTTTGTTGTCCCGCAGGCTGCCTGCCTGCCTGCCTGGAATCAATGCTTCCGTGCACTGCCCCGCTTGCTTGCTGCCTGCAGGTGCAGGGCTGTGAGGTACTGCAGCGAGGCCTGCTCCCATGCGCACTGGAAAGCGCACAAGGCAGAGTGCCGGCGCCTGCGCACCGCTGCGGGGAGTGCCCAGCCCTGAGCCCTGGCACCACAGCGTTGCAGCGCCCGCCTGCCAACACGGTTGCGCCGCCTGGCCGCCTGCACACCACTTGGAGCCAGCCCGGGCGGCGACCCTTTTCTGCCTTGCTGCTCTGCGTGTGCAGCTCTTTCTTTGCTCTGCTTGTTTCCAATGCGCTGCTCTTCAACACGGGTGTTCAAAGTGGAAGAGGTCTGGCAGCGCCTGGCCGCCAGGCCCACTTTGTCTTGCCCAGCCGCAGCCACAGCGCAGCAGGCAGTCTGAGCGGCGTGTGTGGCGTTGACGGATTGCCTGCCCCCAGGATGAGCCAGCACCGCTGCGCCGTGAGTTGACCGAAGCTGTGGCAGCCCCGCGTCTGCTCACCCCAGCAGCCCCACCGCTTGGGTTCCCGCCACCAGCCTCCCACCAGCGCCAGCGCAAGGCCGAGGCCAACGTGCGCAGTGGGGAAGGGGAGTGGAGCAGGCGCCTCCCCCGCCGCCGCCGCGAAGGGGAAGGGCAGGCAGCTCTGCTATTACACAAAGCCTTGCCATCGGGCCGGCAGCAAACTGTTTGGGGCCGGACTGCCACACCGGTTCAGCCCAGATCGGGTGCCGCTGGGAGTGGGGGCGTTGCAGCGCCCATAGTGTGGTTGTCGCCCCGGACTGCTGCTGCCGCTGCTGCCTGTGGAGGAACGCGGGTGGGAGTGTCGTGCCGGTTGCGCGAGGGAAGAGCGGTGGCGAAGCGGCCGCTGCGGCGGCAACCAGCCTGGCTTTGGGTGCACTTCGTTGCCACGCTCCTAAGCGCTGGCGGCGAGGCTGCTGGTGCGTTGCTGGCCGGCCACGGCAGGCTGACAAGGAGGTGGGGAGGGCACAGGTGCAGCAGGAGGGGCCACCCTCGCCCTGGCTGTTGAAGGCTGGCCGCTGTGGGTGTGGAGCACGAAGGGCAGCGTGGGTGCGGGCCCTTCTGGCTGCCTCCTGCAGCTGCACCTCATGTGTGCTGCCCCCTGCCAGCAGCAGCGCTGTGTGTTGAGCCCAAACTCAAGCAAGGCAAGGGGCAAAGGACCAGCCAGGCGCATCTCGACAACCCCACCCTCACGCTTTGCCCCTCTTGCCAGCTTTGCCCTCGGTCCCCCTTGCACGCCCGCCCCCACCACATTAAACACAGCAGCTTGTTTCCCAGTGTCAAAGGGTGGTGTTGAATAACACCAGTTTGTTTTTTTGGTGGTGAAGGGATGAGCCGTCAGCTGGAGAGAGAGCGCCGTGCGCTTAAGCGCGCTCGCCACGGATGCGGCGGGCCAGCTGGATGTCCTTGGGCATGATGGTGACGCGCTTGGCGTGGATGGCGCACAGGTTGGTGTCCTCGAACAGGCCCACCAGGTAGGCCTCGGCGGCCTCCTGCAGCGCCAGCACGGCGCTGGACTGGAAGCGCAGGTCGGTCTTGAAGTCCTGGGCAATCTCACGGACCAGGCGCTGGAAGGGCAGCTTGCGGATCAGCAGCTCCGTGGACTTCTGGTACTTGCGGATCTCGCGCAGGGCCACGGTGCCGGGCCTGTAGCGATGGGGCTTCTTCACACCGCCGGTGGCGGGGGCCGACTTGCGGGCGGCCTTGGTGGCCAGCTGCTTCCGGGGCGCCTTGCCACCGGTGGACTTGCGGGCGGTCTGCTTGGTGCGGGCCATGGTGCCGGGGGTGGGGGTGGGAGAGGGGCGGAGGAGGAGTGGTTGTGGCTGTGGGCGGCTGTCGGGGGTGGTTTTGTGCAGGGGAGGCAAAGTGAGGCACCCAGTGGGGGCCACCTGGTGAGGTACGGCGGCTGGTGCACCGTCCGCAGTCACCGCACAAGCAGGCGGCCAGGAGGCAGCACGTCCCGCTGGGTGCCGCCCCACCCAGCCCGCCTCAAGACCCCTGCCGCCGCCCGCCCACCCACCACTCTCCCCTCCTCCCCCACACCACCACCAACTACTCAAGCAACCATGTCTGGACGCGGCAAGGGCGGCAAGGGCCTCGGCAAGGGCGGCGCCAAGCGCCACCGCAAGGTGCTGCGCGACAACATCCAGGGCATCACCAAGCCCGCCATCCGCCGCCTGGCCCGCCGTGGCGGCGTCAAGCGCATCAGCGGCCTGATCTACGAGGAGACCCGGGGCGTGCTCAAGGTGTTCCTGGAGAACGTGGTGCGCGACGCGGTGACCTACACCGAGCACGCCCGCCGCAAGACCGTCACCGCCTTTGACGTGGTGTACGCGCTCAAGCGCCAGGGCCGCACCCTGTACGGCTTCGGCGCGTAAGCGATCCTGGGTCCCAAGATTCACAAGCAACCCCACACAAACAACAAACTGGTGTTATTCAACACCACCCACCCACACGGAAAGAGTCTTGCGTGTTGTGATGTCGGGAAGGAGGGGGTTGGGGCTGGTGGGTGTGGGGGGGCTGGCTGCTGCTGCCCCTTTGCCTGCCTGTCTCGAGGAGAGCCTGCCGCTGCCTGGCCTGGCGCCTGCCCCTCTTTTGTGGGGGAGCTGTGATGGTGCTGGGTGGGTGTGCCTCTTCCCCTCCCCGAGCCCGGCAGCGAGCGAGGCAGGCCGGCCCGCACAGGCACACACACGAGGGCACCAGCAAGGCCAGAGGGACAGCCAGCAGGGCACAGCCAGGCGGGCAGGGACCAGCTGGCAGTGGGCGCTTGTGGGTGGCTGGTCTGCCTTCTCCCGGTGTTGCGTGCCTCCGTGTGCCTGCCTGCCCTCCTCCTGTCCCCTGGCTGGCTGCGCGCACGCCCCCAGCACCGACCACCCGCCAAGGCAGCACCGCCCCACCAACACAAAGCAGCGACAGCGCACGCCCAACACGGCAAGGCAGCGAGCGGTTTCCGAGCGAGGTGGTGTTGAATAACACCAATTGGTTTGTTTGTTGTTGTGTAGAAGGTGAGCCAGGAGGCAGCTCAGGCGCTTCAGGCCTCGGTCTTCTTGCCGCTCTTCTTGGGCAGCAGCACGGAGTGGATGTTGGGCAGCACGCCGCCCTCGGCGATGGTCACGCCCGCCAGCAGCTTGCTCAGCTCCTCGTCGTTGCGCACAGCCAGCTGGATGTGGCGGGGGATGATGCGGGTCTTCTTGTTGTCGCGGGCGGCGTTGCCGGCCAGCTCCAGCACCTCGGCCGCCAGGTACTCCAGCACGGCGGCCAGGTACACGGGGGCGCCGGCACCGATGCGCTCGGCGTACCGCCCCTTCTTCAGGTACCGGGCGATGCGGCCCACGGGGAACTGCAGGCCCGCCTTGGAGCTCTTGCTCACGGCCTTCTTGCCGGAGGTCTTGCCCTTGCCGCGGCCAGACATGGTGGTTGGGTTGTGGGGTGTCGGGGGGTGAGGGGAGGAGGGGGAGT